TAAGACGAACGACATTCTACAGGTTACCACAAAATTCTAAAAACTACCTAACAGCAAAGGTAATACATATAATACAAAGTAGAAAAGGAATTTTCCAAGATACAGAATACTCTAGTATGTTGTTTCTTCAAATCGTCGAACATCCACAGCCTGTAGGAACAAATCTACCTGGAAGGATATGAGCCAAAAAAGGTTCCATTGTCAATGCGATAGTCGGAAAACAAAACAACAAGCCATTTTTAGGCTTAAAGAACAGTTCAACTGTATTTAAGGCAGATGATATTGATTAACAGTGTCTACTAAGCAAGTGATTTGCTCAATAGGAAATAAGATTCAGTAGAAACAAAACCGACTACACTTGGTGACAACAATTCGTCTATCATACTCCTTATTTTTGAACTATGAGTAGGCTATACATTTCGAGAGAGCACTGAAACGTTAGTTGTTTATACTCAGTCATCTGGAAAACGTCTTTCATATACCAGACGATGAGGGAGACTCATTGTGTGAAGGCTGATGACACTACCCAGTTGCCGGAGATGGACAGGAATTAGAACTCGGAACCCACAGACTGAAAGTCAAGTGCTGAAATTAATAATTCACGTCTCCGTTAACACAATGAAAAGACGCATGGTAAAATAAGAAGAATGAGTGTCACCACTAAAAAATTCACGATTTTACTGCTAGAAGAGGTAATGTGGTTTCAAAAGTGAACAGATCAAACAATACATTGAAGGTGTGTGCAGCTTCCTTGTTCGAATAGAACCAACTTTTGGCTGAAAGGAGCAAACGAAACATGATAAGCTTTTTATACATGTCGCAAAATTCATCCATCAGTCTAGAAACATGCCAAAGTAAACGTGAAAAACAAATTAGGACCATCAAATTCGTAGGCTTAGAGGTGGTGAAATTCTTCACTACCTGTATCATTCAGACAATTTAACATGCTTAAGAGTAAGTGTTGGACAAATAAAACAAAAAAAGCTTTTGAAGTAACCCACACACACACAAGTAGCAGTTACTTTACAGCTTAAACCAAATCTGTCCACTTAGAAAGAATAATCCCTCATTCTTTCAACAGCTTACACTGTTATCGACACTCGACTCGTTTGACTTTGGAACAACTTGAACATACGTCGTAAAAAGATGAAAATACATTTGAAATTCAACTCAAAGTATGCTCAGAGTACATCTACTGACGAGGATATCAAAGCATGGATCGGGAAAGCAAGACAAGCTTTCATTACTCTCAAGTCTGTGTGGAGGTCAACAGCACTCACCATCAAAAATAAGATCTGGATTTTCAACTCATAAAGAGCATCTCAAACAAACTACAGACCTTCATTAACAGTTGTCTTCGCTCAATACTCAAGATCAGACGGCCGGCCATTAAGGATCAGCAACAAGGGTCTCTGGGAGCAAACCAACCCAGCAAGAACTGATTGTGAAACAAATAGGCAGGAAGAAATGGAGATGGATTGGCTGGCCATACTCTGAGGAAACCATCAAGTGATATCACTAGGCAAGCCCTCGAGTGGAACCCGAAAGGGAAACGGCGAGTTGGTCGTCAGTGCAAGGGTGACTTGGAGGAGTTCATGTGAAGAGGAGATGACAGCATGTGGGCAGACATGGAGCGGGATGAAAAAGTTGGCAGAAAACCGAAGGCAATGGAGATGCGCAGCTGAAACCCTATGTTCCTCTAGGAATTAAAGGAAATAATAATAATAACATCTACTGTAGTTAAATCTAAAATCAAACATCACAGTCCCAAAACGGTAAAAACAATTAAAACATACACATATAGTAGAAAAGTTACGCATGAAACAAAATTAAAATCTAAACTTTTGTTCACTGAAGAAACTCTCCTCATTGTAGGAATTGCAAAAGTTTTCACTGTTACAATTCTAGGAATTTATTTTGAAATCTCATGTTTATTCCATGAAAGATGATATCAATAAATACAATAAGCCTACTCGTTGTGCAATTACGGAAATCAGTCAAGAGATGATAAGAACTGATTATAAATGACATTTCTTTTTATCTGCATAACATGTATATATGTTAGTTTAAGCTAAAATTTTTATAATGAAAAAAAAATAAAAGACTTTCTTCTGATCAACTGAAAATCAACGAAATGGTTGGTATTATCTAGAGTTGAAAGTACTGCTGCATAATAAATCGTGGCAAAACCCACTAGATTTATACGCTAACAAACCAAAAACACAAACACATACTTCCTTAGGTTACAGTCAATAGTAAATAGAAAACAAAACAAAAAAGAATGAAATAGTTGACAATTATTTCAGCTGTTAATTGTAACATGTCCTCATAAAACAGACACAAAGGAACGAAAAATATCCTTTCACAAACATCTGTAGAAGTCTTAGTTATGGACGAAGAATCACGGGGTTGAATAGTCAGTCGGGCAGGCTAATCAACAGCAGGTTGAAGATGAGGCAGTAACTCATCGAATAAGACACTGCGAAATGGTCGCGCTATGTCGTGAATTGACAGAAGTTAGAATTCAAGGACCATTGGATCATGTCCCAGTGACTCAATGGTCCTGGGTTCTAACCCTGTAGGATGCGTACTGTTGGAGAGTCCCAAACTACGACGAAACAGCTGTCCAGTACTCCCAGATTTTCCAGTGGTTCTCTAACTGATGTCAGCTCATGATGAAATCCTCCATGCAATCAAACAAAAATCCCTACAAAACCAATACTAGAAAAATCAGCAGTAACCTAGAAAAATATTCGGCTCAAACGATTAGATTCCCGAGGTTTGATTGAACACTTGAGTTTAATATTTCATCAGTCCCTAATATACAGGTATCACATATGAAGGGTATTTGTAATGTTGACTAAATAGATACGAGTGAAAATTGATGCAACTGTCGCCTTCATGACATACATTTTGGACAGGTTCTATGGTTACCTGTACGGCATTTCAGGATATTTTCAAAAGTACCATGCGAATAAGAATAAACGCCAAAGTGAAGATTTTGATCAATAAACGTAAGACTAGAGTTAAAATTCGGTGACCTATTCATGTATAGGTTCGTGACAATTCACTATGACAAGTATTGTTCAACACTGAACTAACTGTATTTCTCATACTAGCTAACTCTCCTTCAATCAGGCACACTTCTAGGCAGATTTCACCGAACCTGCAGTTCAAGTTATCGAACTCTAAATTGCACACAAATGTAGAAACAAAACAGACAAGACTAGAATGGATGGAAATGTAAGAGACGAAAAATAATTACATGAAAGACTATGAGAATTCGACAAATCAACCACGGGTTCCCAAAGAGGGAACGCATCCGCAGCATGTAAAATGCCTTTGCGCCATATAACCAGAAGTACTAGTGACGCGAGGATCCCAACAAACTACTTTACAACTACCGAAAACGATTCATGCAAGGTCTTCATTGCACCACTCTGAACACTTTTCCAACCTAATGGTGTGTCACCTAACATTATACGATGAAAAAGGCAGTGCCTTGCCATGAGTGACACGTGTCCTTTCTGCTCATCACAACGATGCAGCTTCATAACATCATCAACTGACTCACTGACTGATTGACTTCCACACCTTACCTAACATTCTACACCTAACCTCAATATAGCACATTGTTATGCCACTTCACACAAGACAAAGAAAACAAACATCTTTGGTCTGAGACGACTAGTCTCTTCATTTCTTCCACTTTCATCGGCCATTTCACACAGTCATAAAGGACGACACAGCAAACTGCTGTGTAGCATACACACGTCCTCTAATGGATGGCCGGATATCAATTCTACATCGAAGACGACGTAAGGTGACAAATCACATCCGACCCTTTCATATCCAAGTTGAGATTCCATCAGTAATCAGGTCGTTACGACTCATGTTACATCTCGAATAAATGAAGTGGTCAACACGCTCAACCAATTCACTCGCCTTATATTTGAATTGGAGTTCGTGAAAACTCGTTCTGTAGGATCCTAATCGACAGGGGCTATTCTCATTCCAAAAGTACTGAGAATTCTTGTCCCGGTGTTTAGAAGGACTATATCATCCACACACCATAAATCGGACCTGTAGTAAGCACCACGGTAAATTGAAAATCCTATCCTAGAGTCAAATTCAAGTGTTTAGAATGATTCCTACTTTCGGTGGCAGGATTATACTATCCATCAATGTGGAGGCTTCAAACAGAAGAGTTTCGACTTCTAAAGACCTTCATCCATACGCTCAACATTCAAAAGTAATTTGAAGTTTAGTTTAGTGATTAAATCGAATTACAGGCCCATAGTTCTACCCAAGTTAACTTGAACTTTAGTTGACGTCCACAAATATATCAATATGAGACGATAATGCGTTTTATGTTATTATACAGGCAATTAGTTACTGCGCGGAAACTGAAGAAATCTTTAGAAATTATGAAGACAGCGTCTTACACTGTGGACCTTTAACACTTTCTGACAATAAACAGTTTTCCACACGTCTTCAAGGCAGTGGAGATGCGCAGCTGAAGTCCTATGTTCCTCTAGGAATTAAAGGATATAATAATAATAATATGTCATGTGTTATGCGAATATAAATTTAGGCATTTATAATGCGAAGATGAAAACTGCGATTAAAAACATACAAGTGCATTGACATAAAAATGCATAGGCTGTTTACTCAGGGAAAGAAACAGGATTCTTATTACGCGACTGTATTTACTTTACATTCATCTAACGCACATTATGCGTAAGACTTATGAGTATATGGCAATACGAATGATCACAAAAATGCTTGTTTTCTAACTTCTCCTAGATGGAATTGGCTACTATATCACATACAATTTCGTTCATTGAAACAGTCATTAAAGACGATTTGCATTCAGAATATTTATACATTAGTAGTAAGCATATATACACAAAATAGATAGAATTATGAGTGTTTCCGTTTCTTGGATTTTGAGAAAGAGCTTTGGGGATCTGTATACATTGATGATTGGGAAGAGCTGGCCTTGTGAGTGTTGTATTTGGATCTGAAAAGGTAGATAAAAATGAATGTCAGGAAGTATTGCCTCTTGATAATTTAACATATAAATTAAATAGTAAAAATATAAACAACAGGACCCAGTCCAATAACGTATTGCCGTATTGTAGAGACGCAAATAAGATCTGACAGAAAATTTACAAACACGAGTAAACGGTAACACCATATACTAGTGACGATTACTACGCATAGAATGTAGCGTAAAGCATTCATCACAATCGTCTTGCAGAGTCCATTCATTAGATCTTTAACCTCATCATTACAAATCACTGGTAATGTAAATCAGGAGTACTGTTTACATCCATGCACCTGCTAATTAACCACGCCTACTAGATGATGAAAGCCAATATACTTCCACTATCAATCTCTCCATCCACCATGTTATATAGGATTTCAAACTATCATCTTATCCCATCCTATTCTATTTTTTTTTCCTTCACGTTCCCCAGTGGAACATAGGGCTTCAAATTAGTGGCTTGAAGTTTCTGTAGCAGTGTTTATTTTACCGGATGGGGTTGATAGCCTCATGCCCAACCTTTCCTCTGTACCAGCATTATTTCTAGCTCAGCGAGGTAAAGGAGTGTATTGGCGGGGGATCGAACCCCGGACCATGTGTATGGTTGGCGAGTGTACTAACCTCTATACCACCTATTGTATGGTTGTGTGTAATTATATGTAGTGCTACCAGAGATGAAAGCCCTAAAACACCTTAAGAATAACAAGGATATAGTAATCATAAAGTCGGACAAAGGAAATGCAACAGTAATATCAGACAAATCACACTATTTGGACAAGGTGAATACTCCCATACAAATAGGACCATATGAGGAAATTAATAAATCAACAGACACCGTTATGAATAAGGTTAAGGAATCCACAGAGGACCTTATACGCCAAATGAAGCCGTCTCAAGGTGAGTCTAAGTGGTTTAATTTAATGCCAAAAACTAATAACCCAGTAGAATGTATGGAGTTGTTACAGTTCATAAGTTAGGATACCCTATTAGACCTATAGTTGATTTTAGAAATTCGCCTACTTATGAATTATCTAAATATTTAGCAATGTTAATAAACCATTTTAAAAGTCACTCAAAATTTAGACTAACAAATTCTTATGAACTAAAATTAGACAATAAAGAAAAATGGTTAGTTTTGAAATTGTCAGTCTATATACACGTATACCAATATATATGGCTATAGAGGCAGTCAAAAACGAACTCATTTGTGACGAAGAACTTGAACTTAGAACGAAAGTGTCACCTGAGGATATAATACTGGGAGTGTAGCTACGGCTGAATTCCACAGTATTCAAATTCCAAGGGAAGATATACAAAAAAACTAATAGAGTTGTCATGGGATCACTAATATCCCCAATAGTGGTGGATGTATTCATGGATAGGTGAGAAAACTTAGCGATTGAAACGTTCACCCCACTCCAAAAGTTTGGTGGAGGTATGTAGATGACACATTCACTGTACTTAGAACACAGGATTTAGATAGATTTTTCGAACACATCAACTCAAAGGTGGAGGCAATTCAACTCACTTATGAATTGGAAATTCAGGAAGGGGAGCTTCCAATGTTTGGTTGTAGAGCAAAAAAGAAAGAAGATAGGAAGTTAAACACTAGTGTTTACAGCAAAACCCATACATTAAAACCGATATTTGGATTGACAATCATCCCATCCTATTTCAGTAAAAATAGCATTGCTGAAATGTTTAAGTAATAGGGAACAAACACTAAGTGGTACGAAGGAAAATCTAAGACAGGAAGTAAGCCATATATGAGAAGCTTTGGAACTTAATAATTACTCTGACAAATTAATCAGGAAGTACGAAGGGAAATGTTAAACTAAAATAAGCAATAATAGTAGCGATGGTGATAATGATAACAATATTAATGACGATATGCAAGTCAAACATGCGCAGGATAATGACAACACCAACAATGGGGAATATAAATCATCAGTACTACTTCCATACAAAGAAGGAACCTCGGAAACGTCACGGAGAATTCCTAACAATGAAGGAATAAAAGTGGTATCCAAACCCACAAACTCTATTGGAGACAAGTTTTGTCGGTCAAAGGATTCTGTGAAGACCATCAAACAAAACAATTTAGTTTATCTAATAGCCTGTTGGAATGATTATCAGGTCAAATACATACGTCAAAGTAGTAGAACAAGTGCAGTCAGACTAACCGAGCATAAAACCCTAGGAAAATATAGATTAGTTGACTCGATTGAGATAAGAAATCTGGAGAATAGTTCAGCCGTAGATACCACTACTACATACAAACCGTACAATAGGATAAGATGAAAATCCTAAAATCGAATGTATCAGGCTGGAGGGAGAGAATGGGAAGAAAAGTCTTATTCATCAAATCAACTGAGAGAGAGTACGTGTAATAGTAGGAATGATTCAACACATGACCCGATATTTGAAAAATTCTACTACCCCTACGACGAATAGGACTAGATAAAGAAAACCATAAAACTCAGGTTTCGAAGTTGTGTGATTATAATTTATCCATATGATTATGAACAATAAATTGTGTTCTAGACGTCATGCAGTAAATAATACTGATTCACTGTGTGAAAATCATCGCAACTGAGTACTCACTCTTTGCATGAAGCTATTCAAACAACTGAACAGGAGGTCAATCGCGGGCCCGAATAGCTCAGTGTGGTAACGTCTCTGATTGCAGTTCTCACTGGGTGACGCGGGTTCAAATCTCAGAAGGGGGCATGAGTTCCTTCAACGTTGCAGATACGCCTTGCTGACTTGTGATTGTCAACTAGCACGAAACCTAGCTCCAAGGCTTCCTGTGGCCGATTGCCTCCAACCATCTAATAACATCAAACGGTATTCACTACTTGAAAGTAAAGTTATTCAGACAATAAAAGTACCAGGAGAAAGTTGGCCACATTTAACAAGTATGTCCAAGATTTGTAAAACCCAAGAGGTTGGAGTATTGTCACACTTAATGATACGACTATATATTTGTTCTGAAAGTGAAGTGAAGTGAACAAAAGGCGTTTGTTATCGCGTTTTTTGCAAGGGAGTCACATGCATGAAGTATTATGGAGACTGAGAAGACTGTTCGAAATATGCAGGAGAAAGAGATAGGAAAGTAAGACATAAGTGACAAATACAAATGATAATGAACTTAAAGTTCACCAGAAATCGGACGAAGTTGAAGAACAGAAAAGAGAATAACAAAATTGCTAAGGATCAATAACGAAGTCAAACAAACAAATTTCTCCGATTTAACTATAAAACTTTGGAGCATGAAATGCAACAATCACTGAAATTAATTTTAAGATATACCAGTTGGTACTTGTTATGAAAATAATAATATAAGTGAATGAATGAATTCATCGAATAAGAAGAGAAATTAATAGCCTTAAAGAACTTGTACCTCATTTTCCATTTTTTCTTAGTTCTTTGTGTTATACGGAAATCGCTTTCATTGGCTTCATAATTATATGAAGAGGAGGAAGCTGCACACGACGCATTAAAATTGGAATTAGCAGGTTGAGACTTCGATCGTTGTTCCTCACTTTTATTCTCCTCGTTCTCTACTGTTCTAAGTGAAGCCAAAAACTCGAGATACGATCGACTTAATTGCTTGCCACCAATCTTGCGCTGTAAATTGTTTCCTAAATAGTAGATAAGTAAATAACTTCTGTAATTATACAACTGAATAAGCGATATATACATGTATATATTCGGTAATGCAGCTTTCTTCAGTTTCCGCGCAGTAACTAATTGCCTGTATAATAACATAAAACGCATTATCGTCTCATATTGATATATTTGTGGACGTCAACTAAAGTTCAAGTTAACTTGGGTAGAACTATGGGCCTGTAATTCGATTTAATCACTAAACTAAACTTCAAATTACTTTTGAATGTTGAGCGTATGGATGAAGGTCTTTAGAAGTCGAAACTCTTCTGTTTGAAGCCTCCACATTGATGGATAGTATAATCCTGCCACCGAAAGTAGGAATCATTCTAAACACTTGAATTTGACTCTAGGATAGGATTTTCAATTTACCGTGGTGCTTACTACAGGTCCGATTTATGGTGTGTGGATGATATAGTCCTTCTAAACACCGGGACAAGAATTCTCAGTACTTTTGGAATGAGAATAGCCCCTGTCGATTAGGATCCTACAGAACGAGTTTTCACGAACTCCAATTCAAATATAAGGCGAGTGAATTGGTTGAGCGTGTTGACCACTTCATTTATTCGAGATGTAACATGAGTCGTAACGACCTGATTACTGATGGAATCTCAACTTGGATATGAAAGGGTCGGATGTGATTTGTCACCTTACGTCGTCTTCGATGTAGAATTGATATCCGGCCATCCATTAGAGGACGTGTGTATGCTACACAGCAGTTTGCTGTGTCGTCCTTTATGACTGTGTGAAATGGCCGATGAAAGTGGAAGAAATGAAGAGACTAGTCGTCTCAGACCAAAGATGAGGTCTACGTACGAAATAATCATTCACACGTACTATATAAAAGCTATAAATAATACTAACAGGCCGTCAAAATCAATGTGGATTTTTTTTTGGGTGTTTGAGCCGCTGATCCATTCTCTGGCTTAATCCAATGCACGATAGTTTCACTTTTTTAAAAGGAATTTCTTATTTATGAGAAAAACACACCATGAAGAGTTTATATATACTTAGAATTACCAGGACAAAAAAACACCACAACTTAAATGAAATAACTGTGTAATAGCCATTATTCATTATTCCGTATACATCATACTATGTGAAAGAATGCAGCAGAACATCCAGACTAAATTTTATCAGAAAGATGGTGGTTGAATGCAGATATCTTAAGTATTACGGTATTAAACCATTGTTACATTAGTTTTAATTCACATGCCGAGATAAAATATCCATTGGATGATAGATTAAGGACTTACCCACACATGGTGACGAAGATGTTACGTACAGCAGTTTTTGTTCCATCAATCTTTCAATTTGTATTCGATTGGTGAATGGTGACTAGCAGAGGGATCCAGGATGCGCATTTCGTCCTATTTGGGACTCGTCATCTGGACGTAGCTGCATTTCTCAGTGAGTAATGATGTTCCCACCGAGGCTCGAACCCAGTACCCATAGTTTGAAACGCCAAAGCCCAAGTGGTCTAGTGGATAGCGCTTTGGCGTTTGAAACTATGGGTACTGGGTTCGAGCCTCGGTGGGAACATCATAACTCACTGAGAAATGCAGCTACGTCCAGATGACGAGTCCCAAATAGGACGAAATGCGCATCCTAGTCACCATTCACCAATCAAATACTAACTAAATGCCCAGACATCGTCGAAGTATCTGCACAAGAAGCCGACAAGTCGACACCTGAGACCGAGCACTTCGGTTCAATCAATCGACGCGAAAATCTCAAATTCAATAAAATCTTTCAATTTGTTTACCATTGTGGCCTTCACCGAGATTCTTGGCTTTTGCTTTTTTGCCTTTCTTTTTCTTCGCTTTTTGTGGCTTAGAAATTTTTTGTGCTTCTCTGTGGTTATTATTTTCCGCTTCTTCCGATATCTCCATCTCTTTCTTCTTCCGTTTCTTTTTTGTAGCACAAACTCGTGCTAAATCTGAACGGAGAGACTCGTATATGTCTTTTTTATCGTAGACTGTAACTCTTCTTTTTGGTAAAGGACCAAGGAATTGTGACCTGAAGGGCCTGCAGCGACAATCCTTCAAGGAAACAGATAAAATTGTTATTATTAAAAACAAATCGAAAACAAAAATAAAGCGCTGGTATAATTTAAGGAAGTGCATGATATTGATGCGCAGAAAATGGATTGTCCGGTGAAAATAATAATTTTAGAAGCCACGAGTTTGAACTGTGACGTGATTCAGATTTCCGTTTCATCTTTATTGATTACCTTGCATAATGACGACCTGTTCGCAGAATGGAAACCATATATCAGACACAACTAACTGATAATATTCAAACAATATGACTGTTTCTATGATACTAGATAATTGAAGATGAACATGCCCTAAACAACGTAATATAGTCAGTTACTTTTCATATGTCAAACTGAATTCTTAACCATGACCCACACAAATAAACAAGGTAAAGTAGAAAACATAAGGTGTAATACTGAAACAGAGACCAGCATTACTACGTGCTAGGAAAACCACATTTCAGCATATGCAGCTGAATGCTACAGAAGTTCGGGATTGGCTTTTGAGAAAAACAGAAACATCTTAGTCTCCATTTTCGTAATTAACTGAAAACCATGATCCCCCCATAAATCTTTACAAAGTTAAATTTTAATCTAACCTCGTTAGTCCGTTTAAGCTACCAAAAACACCTATTGGATTACACATTCGAATGCAGAAGTACCTTTTGGAATAAACGTAGGTACGTGGTCCACTTTTCTATTACAATTGGCTTATGGTTAGCTAACAGACGTGCTGCGACCGTGGTGTAGCGGTTATTATGGCTGCCTTCCAAGCAGTCGATCCGGGTTCGACTCCTGGGGGTCGCAAGAGGTTTGTGCGTCGGTGACATAGCGGTTAGGACATTCGCCGACCATGCACATGGTCCGGGGTTTGATCACCGGCCGACGCACTCCTTTACCTCGCTAAACCAGAAATAATGCTGGTAAAGAGGAAAAGTTGGGCATGCGGCTAGCATCCCCACCCGGTAAAATAAACACTGCTACAGAAACTTCAAGCCACTAGCTTGAAGCCCTATGTTCCACTGGGGAACGTGAAGGAAAAAACAAACAGACTACGACATCCGTAAACGTTTCTAACTTTAATTAATTATCTTGAAAGCAACATATAAACGAATGATGGGCAAATGTATAAAAAGGTAAATTGATAAAATAGGCTAAATCTGACAGATAAATATCCACAATCGATAAGACCCATCAAGTACAAAGCATACTATTTTTTTCTTATTATGGCTTGATTCCACACTGTATTTATGGTACAAGTATGGAATTTTCAGCATGTGATATCGGTAGCTCAAATTTTGCAGACCAACCAATTAATATCAGGTGTGCGTCGGCAGGGGATCGAACCCCGGACCAAGTGCATGGTCGGCGAGCGTCCTAACCGCTGTACCACCGACGTACAAGAGAAGAAAAGATTTCCAAGTCTCAAAAATGCATATAAGTGGACGATTATTAAACCAATAAGATTAATGAATTACTTAGGAAACCGTGGCAGTGGGGTAAACCTCATCAGGAGTAACAAATCAGCGATAACAATTTAGCTGGTATCTTGACAGTCAGTCATAATGAGTTCCGAGTAAAGTCGACGAACCAGCAATGTATATTTTAAAAATATATTTAACTTCCTGAGAGAATCTTTTACTGGACTATTAATTCACTACTTATGGCAGTAAGTTAGTCAGCGCAGATTAAAAAGAATCAAGGGAACAGTACTTTTTCAGTCAGAGGAGGCGCCAATGTACAAAAATGGTGTCCCACGACCCATTTATCTTCACTTATCCTATCAAGAGTCTACATTGCAACAACTTTTGTTATCTAGTTATTTTTGCACACTACTTTTGTATTCTATTATCGTGCTGATTTGGATTGTCGTAACTTTCTATTCGTTCAACTGGTCTCTTAATTAACAGACCTATATATTTACACAGGAATTAAATTTAATATTTATTTACTAATGGGAAGTGAAATTAGAGATTATAAATCCAGAAAAATAGTAGACTATTATTTCTTTTTTTAAACAATAGATAAATAATAGTCACTTGAATGCAACACCTACTTCAACAGTATGACCCATTCGTCCACAGTTACAACAACCTTTCGACTGTACAGTGTAATGCAAGCGTACTGGTTTACCTTCAGTTGTCTATATAGAAGAAATCAAAAACAAAATGAAACAAATATTAGGATAAGCGTGAATATTAAAAAGAAATAATAACAATAACAACAAAACAATAATCCCAACTCCCCTTAATGTAGTGTGCAGGGAAGGGATATAATGAAGAATACTATAACATGGTGAAACTGTCAACAACTTCAAACATTAGTCATTACGAAATATGAACCAAACACCATCTACAACATGAAGGTTTCAAATCCTGGAACATCGGTTGAAATTTGAATACTTCAATCACTAAAAGAGACCCTTCAGCAATGCATGTATCCAAGATCGTTAGGTCTTTGGACAAAAAATATGTGACCATTCAGTCACACTAGGTAAAAAAGACTTAACTGCTTCTTTGGTGATCATTTGCTAACAATGAAAATTAGTCAATTAATTCATTAATGCAAGTCAGTTTTCTTATGCGACACCATACGCAACACAGTTACAGTAGTCACGTAAGAGTTTATAACATACTATAGACGATTTTAAACCCATAAATTACTAGAGAGAAGTTGAGTACTATGGTCAGTGAATCATACATATTTTTATGTTCACAGTGCAGATGAGAAACACTCCAGATGTATGATGATAACGGCTTTCACAATATCGCCTACAATAAAAGAGACGGAACGCAGTATCTTCAACGTCTAATATGCTAGTGTTAATTTATGCTTAATCAGAAAAAAAGAAAATTAGAAATATGTGAGGCATAAAATCACCTTGTGAAGAATCAATATCAACTCAAAATACTCTAAAGCAAAATGAGCTAAAAGATATCGGTTAAGGGTAGGAAGAACAAGAAGAAAAAGTAAAAGTACCAAGGCTTTGTCTTTCGATCGATTCGCCTTCTTTAATATTTATTGTGCAAAAGCATTAAGAATAAATTATAGATTGCAAAATAAAATTATTCAGTAGACATGAATTAACGAAACAAGTACATACTTTGATTGGACAAGTGCTAAGTAGCACGAACTGTAGGTTCAAGGCTTTCTGCTGATCGCCTCTAACCATCTAATATCATTAAATCAATGTACACTGTGATGGCGAGCTACCTAGAATGGTGGCCACATTGTAAACCTGATTGATACTAGTCAGTTTGCACCAAGGAAAGAAATAGACATATCACACTAGGTCACTAGTGTCCTATCACAGTATCCAATACAGTCCTACAGGTGGTCAATCACGAGCTCGAATTTCTCAGTGGTAACGTCTCTGACTGCAGTTCTCACTGGGTGACGCGGGTTCGAATCTCAGAAGGGGGCATGAGTTCCTACAAGGTTGCAGATACGGCTTGCTGACTTGTGATTGTCAACTAGCACGAAACCTAGGTCCAAGGCTTCCTGTGGCCGATTGCCTCCAACCATTTAATATTATCGGAACAAGTGCACATTAAAATTCACTTAATACAACCTTAAATACAATATTTTTTATAGTAAAATTACGTACATATCAAATTGTCAACCAAAAATGAAGACTGACTTTCAAATAATTAAGCCATGCACACAAATTAGTCTCTAGTTACACGAAGGTATATAATCCAGAGGAACAAAATCAAATTAACAAATTAAAGCTTTAAAATTTACACAGTGAGGTCAATTTTAGACATACAAAATACGCAGTGCTACATACGGCTTGCTTGAATTCTAGGACATATGATGATGATGATGATGTGCAGTTAAATCACTTTAAAACGTTTTTGAAGCTTTTCTACTTAATTATAAAGGCAGAAAACAAGACAAATTGGTGCTGTCTGTCATCAGACATATCACTGTTTACAAAAATCATAAAACTGAAAAGTTTATCTACGCAAAAGAGATGTCTACTGTTAAGTAATTCGGTTAAAATAAAGGCGATGCAACGTTGTACCCTGAATGTTCTTCTAAATATTCCTTGCAGAGATATATAGTAGCAGTAGACGCCTTAATTGGGTTCGTACTACTAACCACCCAATTAAGTCTCAATTGGAAAATGACAAAATTAAATAGCATTGTACATGGAATTATAACGATTTCAGCTTATGATGAAAGCTTGTGAACAAAACAGTCATGTGGGCGAGTACAGCCAATGACTACAGTACAACATGAGCTGGGACGTGCTTACACAAAATATCTTTTCTCTGGGCATTTCTTCACCACACTGAAAGAAGGAGGAAATACTGGTTGTATAAGCCACAAACAATTTTGTAAAAGACAGTCTATGCGATTCTCTACAGATGTTTCTTCTTATAGAAGAAAAGGAAGTCAATGACTAGGTTATTAATGTGAATGAACCAATTAAGATTATGCTCAGAAGCTTCAGTCAACGGAGGTTTACGCGACTTAGTCAACCTGTTTTTCGGAGATGGATACACCAAATAACAGTAATAACAGAGATGAAGTGTAAGTAGCACAAAATTTAATAACTTCAAGCTTTCAAACTAGAAATAACCTGACTGAAACTCTCTGAAAAAGACTCTAACAATCGTTAAAGATGTTCTCGGCAGCAAATCTGAAAACGTTTTTAAAGCTAGATGATGCATTCCTTTGACATACAAATATCTTCATTGAGGAGAAAGTGCATTGGATGGTTGAGCTTATTATCACTAGCCATGACATATAGAACGTATTTCACATTATTATTATTTTTGTTCCCTTGAGTTCCTAGTGGAACATAGGGCTTCAACTGCACGTCTCCACTTGCTTCTGTCTTCCGCCGTACTTTTCACCTGCATCCATCTTAGTCCATACTGTTTCAACTCCTCTTCACACGATCTCCTCCATGTCACCCTTGCACAGATGTCCCACTCGCCGCCGCTTCCCTTTCGGGTTCCACTCGAGCAATGACCTGACGCGTGCGCGATGTCACCCAGCGGTCTCCTCAGCACCTGTCCAATCCCTCTTCATCTACTTTCTCCTGCATATTTGTTGGTTGGCGATTGGTTCTTGTATTGTTTGTTCCCATAGTTTCTTGTTGGTGATTCCTTCCGGCCCGGCCATCTGGTCTTCAGTATAGAGCGAAGACAGTATTTCACATGCTTAAGGCGATCTACCGAAACAATCCAACTTATGTAAGTCGAGAAACCAAATACCTCTTCATCGAATAATACAACACTTAAAAGTTTTAAAGCGCCACGATATATATATATATACTAGATAATAAAAACAATCTAAAAATAACAAACGATGACTTACGGTATTTCGATATTGTCTCCATAGTTCTGTGCATAACTGTGAATAGAAGAAATATAGTAGAAATGCTACAAGGGAAATGGAAGAGACTATCAAAGTGAAAAAGAAAGGATAAACTGCATTAGTAAACAGCTGTAAAGATTTCTAATTCACACTCTATGCGATTTCAATAAACTCGAAATATCTAACGTTTACATTATGAATAGGCCATGTATGGACTAATATTCTATCACAGTGACCGAATTCTACTCTTACATTGAAATGTATTTCAATTGTGTAAAAGTCCAAACAGTCATATTGTGATGGTGTGATACAGAAAATGTCTGCCAACGCAATGTTATGCTCATATATTTCCCACAGTTCAATACTGCATACAATATATATCTATTTGAACATGCGATTTGATGTCAGAGAGAATACATTTCTGGCGGTTATATACTGCATTAACAAAAGAATACTATGCATATTTGAACATTCTATATCATGTTTTTTGATGTAAACCGAAATCATACGCTCTGTGATTAGTTAACGAATATAAACTATGGAGATATATATAAACAGCGATCTGATTAATGAAAAATATACCTAGGCTTCCGTATCTTGCCTTCTGTTGTCACAATATGACCAATTTCGCATGATTACAGAGAACACACCTGACCGATACCTGCTATCTCGACGTGGCAGTCTCACTTGCTTGTTGCAATAACCCAACGAGCTAGCTTGGATGTATGTTCCTGCACATCCTACCACTCCAGAAAGTGTAAGTCGCTTTCACTCTGTTCAATGTCTGTGGGCGAAGTCGTACTACCAGTAAAAAAGAGGGTAACAAGAATAAGATCTCTCCACAAAACGTTCAGAAGACCAGCTATTTTTCCTTCCCGGTCCATTGCCGCCCGTAAAGTCTTCGTGGGGGTTGAACAGTTTGTGTGGTCGATCTCGAATAGTTGTCCTCTGTGTTCCACGTTCATGCAGCACTAATACGCTTCCTTTCAGGCACCTTAAGAAGAAATCAACATCCACAGTCTGGCAGCTGAGAAACAGAAACGCCTAAAACACCAATTAGCACAGAAAGCTTTTCTGCTTATCACTCACATTCGTCCTCTTGCTTTCCTCCCACTGTTCTGACTATTCCACAGGCAAGTTGTTGATACTCTACAAACTCTGTAGCTTCATTGTGCCAACTTGAACCAGTGAAGTATTGCCCGTAGTTACTTGAAACCGCACTGCCAAACTCATAATAAGACCTTCAACGCCCAGAGCTTATACCAAATCTGAAAACACTTCGTAATGGCCAGAACTCTGACAGCTCGGGCTTTAGGTGCATATTCTACCTTCGAGACACACATACAAGCCCTCTGTGTGGTATTCAATTAACCTCAACCTGACCGGCACGGTAAACGTACAAAATTCAGTCACAGGTGTCAAGAGATTGTTTGACTAGCCTCCTTTGAAATCACTGGTGTAGGAACAACATTCAGAGTGGGTTTCAAGAAAAAGTCGTAATGTGTACTTTTCGGCTATAAAGATGACTTATAACAAAGCGGTTGACATTCATCAAAACGTTTTGGTAATTTGCACTTACACACAAGCCAACTGTGATTGGGACAAACTGAACATTAAATGCTTACGGGTATCCAACATTTGACATATTTTTTGACCTGATAGAGGCATTTGATTGCACGATCGAGAGATACTGTGGCAATGTCTCCATGTGATAAGAATGCCAAGAAGATATACCGTCTAATCAAAACATTTTACTCAAACTCATGCAGTTGTGTAAGGACTTATGGGAATTTTTCATCTAAAATGATGACAACTAGGGGTGTCCATCAGAGATACCCAATATCCCTATTTCGGCTTCGTTTCACTATGCATGTAGTCTGTCTGTCTGTCTGGATTCAACATAGAACTTGGCACCGAAGTGCAGCAGTTCGAGTTGCCACCTTCCAAATAGCACAAAGAGGTAGACAAGAAGATGAGTGAAGAGAATTAATAGAGTTTGACAAGTATAAGAGTGAAACAGAATGGGTAATGGTAGAAAGGAATATGAAAGATTACAGAGACTGAATACATCTGTGCTGGCCATTGACAACGATTTTGAGCCATGTCACCTATTGTCTCCAGACATTGATTCCTAGAGTCCCGAGGGCCCCAACCCGGGAGTCTGCATCTCCCTACCTGACTCAGTTTAACTGTCAAGGATTTCATGGATTGATGCCATGTTTTTGTTTGGCCACCACTGGCTCTTTTCCAACCCGAACCTATATCAGCTAGCAAAGCCCGTCGGGGGAGGCGGTGGTTAGGCATGCGCAGCACGTGACCTAGCCATCTTAGTCTATGTAACTTTATAGCCTCGTCGATTGATTTTCCCTCTTTGCCCAACACTCTACGCCTAACATCAACATTACTTATCTTGTGAAACCACCTAACGTGAGACAGAGATCGCAGACATCTATGATCGAAAGCAGTCAACCTTTTCATGTCTTCAACGCGTATTGGCCATGTTTCAGAGCCATAGAGAAGGACGGAGCGAGTGGTGGAGGTGAACCTAACCGACACCAACTTCAAAAGGAATATCTTGTTACCAAGGTAGTCTCGTCAACCTACAGTATTCAAATAATACAATCCTTCTAGGCAAGACCCAGTCTTCCAAACACCTTGAGCGAAAATATTGACATGTTTTGCATGCGATTAGGTTCTGCCAAAATATAAGATAATACTTCAGAACTATTCAGCACGAACACTTCTTTGAAGGAAAGTGAGGGAAATAGTTAAGCGTATTGCCTACTTCACCCATTTAAGAAGTTGCACTAGCCTTAACCGACGGGTGGGTAAGACGGATAAAGAAGCCCCGTTCCACATTTGCCAAATTGTATCATCTTTGCTGCAGACGTCTACCTGTCAGAGGATTTCTGAAACGTACAGCAATTCGTATCGTCCTTCTTTACAGCTGAGATGTGAGTTGAAAGTAAGACTTATGAAAAGGCTAGTCATCTCTGACTATAGGCTGTGAAACCGCATGTATCCAGATAACTAAGACACGTTATGCAAGCTGAGTCATCGCCTACGTTGATGAGCAATATGCTAGCCAATACAGAATTATGTTTAGGAAGAATTAAGGGGAGTCAGAAGAAAAGTCTTTATATTCCTCTTCGCAACAAAAACCGAAAGTCAGACTGCCTACTTGAAGTCGTCAAGACTTTAAGAACTGATGGTTTGAGGCTGTTGGCGATATTGTAACAGCAGAAAGCAAGACGTGGAAGCCAAGGTATATTTTTCATTAATCAGACCGCTGTTTATACATCTACAGTTTATATTCGTTAACCAATCACCGAGCGTGTGATTTTGGCTTACACTAAACGACATGAAATAGAATGTTCAAATATGCATAGTATTCTGTTGCTAACGCAGTATTGAACTGTGGAAATAATATTGTGACTCTAGCAACAAACAGAATGTTTAAGTAGATATGTCGTATTCTGTTACTCATGCTGTATTGAACTGTGGGAATATGTGAGAATAATATTTCGTTGCAGCACTTTGTCAGTATCATACCACCACAATATGATTCAAAATGATTCTTAATGCAGCAAATGCATTCATCCCTCGTGATCTTCCAGATTCATCGAATTTTCACTATCCCTCATGTAATTATTCTCACTTCCATAGATTCCTGTTTATTATAGTTTTATTATATTTCTTTTTTTCTACCTTTGTGTGTAACTTTATGATGCATGGCAATTTGAACTGATAGATTTTATGCAAAGTTCTACACTGGACATTCGGTCCAGTTAGCACAATGCACGTAGAGTTCAGATTTTATTTTAATACATATCTTTACCATCATCCGTATCATAATAAAAGCAAAGGCAGTGACGTTAATGTATGCTACAATACAAGCATTTAAGTTTCCCCTAATCTATTGAAAATAAATCAATTTGAGCATTTGTAAAGTTGATATTTTAATAAATCACACTTTTATTTTGATACTACTAATAGTAGCTTGTATCAAAATTGTGAAAATATGCAAAGGTATATTTGAAAAGAATTTGTTTCAAGCAATGTGCGCCAGTGGCACAGCTGTTAGGACTCTCGCTGACCATGCACATGGTCCGGGGTTCGACCCCCCGCCGACGCACACCTGATATCTATGGTCGGCCTGCAAAATTTGGGCTATCGATATCACATGCTGAAAATTTCATACATATCTATGTCTGTCTGTCTGTTTTCGACATAGAACTTTGCACAAATGTGCGGAAGTTCAAGTCGCCACATTCCGTGTAGCACGCGAAGCAAGAGAAGAAAGTACAAGAAAAGCATAATAGAAACAGTGAGCAGAGGTGTGAGACAAAGGAGTAATAAAGAAATACAAAACAGTTTCATTGAAGATCATAAGTCACAGGGAGTGGATGCATCTGCGCCACTGAGAACGATTTTGAGCCATGTCACCAATTGTTTCCAACCATAGATTTTTACCGTCCCGAGGACCCCAGCCTGGAAGTCTACACCTTCCTACGTGGCTTAGACCAACTGTTGTGGATTTCATTGACTGATGCCAAGTTTTTGTTTGACCGCCGCTAGCTTTTTTCCAGCCTGACCCTATATCCGCTAACATAGCTCGTCGAGGGAGGCGATGGCTTGGCATACGTAACACATGTCCTAACCATCTCAGTCTTTGTAGCTTCACGACTTCGTCGATTGATTTCCCCTGTTTACCTAGAACTCTACGCCTAACCTCCATGTTGCTCACCTTATTATGCCACTTTACACGGGAAATAGAACGCAGGCACCTATGATCAAAGACAGCTAGTCTTTTCATGTCTTCCACTCTCAGTGGCCAGGTCTCACAACCATAAAGGAGGACGGAGCGGACTGATGAGCAGTACACCCGCCCTTTGGTCGATAGTCGAACATCTCGTCTACGCCAGAGTCGGCGTAAACTAACAAATGCGAAACGAGCCCCTTGTATTCGTGCTGAGATTTCGTCAGAGATCAGCCCGTTGGGGCTGATGGTACTTCCCAAATAAGTGAAGCGGTCAACGTGCTCTACCACTTCACTTCCTATTTTTAAACTAGGCGTCGATGTAGTCCAGTCCTGTAACATCATCTTGCATTTGGCGGGAGCGAATCGCATGCCAAACATTCGTAGATTGCGGCTCAAGGTGTTTAGAAGACTCTGCATTTCGTCAGCGTCTTCGCCTAGAAGGACTATATCGTCTGCATATTCCAAGTCAACGAGATTATTCCCCGGTAGCAAGTCAATCCCTGAGTCGCTGAAGTCACCTAGGGTTAAGTCCATTAACACATCTATGATGAAGTTGAATAGAAAAGGAGATAATGGGCATCCTTGACGGACACCACTGGTCGTCATCAGTTCAGATGACAGCTCGCCGTAAGCCCTCACCTGGCTGTATGAGTACGAATAGAGTGCCTTAATCAGTGCAATATATTTTCTTGGAATTCCCTTTACAGCCAAGCATCTCCAGAGAACTTCCCGATCGACAGAGTCGAATGCTGCCTTTAGGTCAAGAAATATAATGACTGTTGGACGCCGGTAGGAATGCCTATGTTCTAGAATCTGTCGGAGGGTGAAGATATGATCAATACACCCTCTTCCTGGTCTAAAGCCTGCCTGGCTCTCTCGTGTTTGTGCTTCCCGAGCACCACTCAGTCTACGCATGATTATTGAGCCTAAGACTTTAGATACTATATTAGTCAAGCTAATCCCTCTGTGATTATCACAGGAAGACTTGTCTCCCTTCTTGTATATGGGGATAATCAGTGACTTACACCAACCCGATGGGACTTCTTCTGATTCCCAGACGCTGCCTAGTACCTCAGTTAATCCGGACAGTAAGCTGTCTCCACCGTACTTAAATACCTCTGGAGTCATTCCATCAGGTCCCGCTGCTTTGCCTAGTTTCAGATTGGTGACAGCTTTAGTAACCTCAGTTAGTGACGGAGGACCTGTGTCTATATCCCATTCAGGGAGGTGTTGGATGCTCGGAAGGTTGAGCGTGGCTGTGGGCAAATTAAACTGCTCCTCATAATGCTCTTTCCAACGATCCAGTCGTCTATCCTGGAGCTAATTATAGTGCCATTTTTTTCCGAGATTGTCTCACTAATGATTTGTCTTCTCCCACCCGTTTCCCTGATGAGTCCAAAGAGTTGCCTGGTGTTGCCTATCCTCAAAGCTTTCTCCATCTCTTTGGCTTTTGTCGCCCACCACTGTTCACGGTCCTTGCGGAGACTTTTCGTAAGTTTCCTCTTGTGCAGCTTTCGCTCCTCATTGAATTCGGAGCTCGCCGGAATAAGTCTTCTAGCATCTATCAGTTCGGATGAGGCGGTGGAGATCCAGTGGTTTTTACTCACCTTTGGGTTTACCTTATTCACAGCTTTTACAGCTGTATCTATGGCTGCCTGGATATTTTTCCAAGCTTCTTCAGGGTGAGCACAGCTGTCGAACACAGATATGTGTTTAGCTAGTTCTTCCTGAAATACGGATTTAGTTTCCTGATCGAGCTGGGGACGTGATGGTTTTACCGCCAGCTGTTTCCTACGTCCGTTCAGTCGTAAGCACACCCGAGCGCGGACCAGTGCATGGTCGGTATCTACGCACGTGTTCCAGAAGGAGCGACAATCTCCTACCGACCCACGCCAACGATAGCTTATTGCTATGTGGTCTATTTGTGTCCAGCGTTGGTTTGATGAAGGGGGTCTCCAAGTCAAACAGTGTCTCTCCTTGTGTTTAAAGTTAGTGCTTACAAGAAACAAATGATTATCAGAGCAGAACTGTAGGAGACGGTCACCGTTGTCGGTTCGCTGGCACGGAACTCCATAGGTGCCACCGACATCCTTCTCAGATTGACACAATTTCCCTACTTGAGCGTTAAAGTCACCAGCTAGAACGACTATGTCTGAGCGTTTAGCCTTTCCACCAAACTAGACAGCTTTTGGTAGAACTCATCCTTCGTTTCATCTGAACTGCAGTCAGTGGGGGCGTAGGCGGAGATTACGAAAAGGCATCGGCGAGTAGTGCAGTCCTTCCTCCTTCTTACTGATCCGTTCAGGCGGACAGCACACATTCGGCTATCTACCGGGATCCAGTCAAGCAATGTCTTTTCTGCCCTAGTACTCAAAGCTATCCCTACGCCAGCTAATCCTCGTGAACTAGCTGTGGCATCTCCTGACACCCTCAAGGTGAATTTTGCAGATTCAACCTGTTGGCCAGGTGGGGTTAGGTGAATAACCACACTTGGGTCTTGTATGCGTGTTTCTGAAACACAGCATACATCAATGGCTCGTGATGCCAGGGTCTTGGCTAGTGATGCTTGTTGTCCTATTTGGCAAAGTGTCCTAACATTAAGAGCTCCTATATGAAATTGGTGGCGCGGCTTTAAGAGGCTGTCGGTGGTGGTTTTTTGGCTTCCATCGTTTTTAGTGGACGCAGAGTGGAGAGGAAGTGGAGAGCTATCAAGTCGAGGAGTTGCATCAGTGGAAGGAAGGCAAGATGATAGAGATGAAGATGAAGACAAAGATGAGTGAGTAATAGAGAGGTTTCGTGTGCATTTCGGATTGTGAGGGCGATTGTTACTTCCCGGCTGCCCACACCGTGGAAGTTGGTTGCGTGACCGCAGAGCCCAGGGGACAACTGCTTGAGGCCGGTCACACGCGGCCTGTTTTTGTTCGTTCTTTTTTGTTTGGTGTGTCTCAGTAGCAGATTTATCACTCCCGCCCTGTGACACGGCAGCAGGAAGCGCGGTCGTTGTTAATCCGGGCCACGGCCGATCCGGCATGAAATTTTGTAATTTTGTATTGGACATGATGTTGGATTGGGTAGCTGCTTTTTGTTTAACCGCTATCCAAACAACCTGCCTGGCATGGTAGAACCTCAAGAGACATAAGTCTCAGCCAGTATAGCTTGATTAGGTCATTGCGGTGTTCAAGCCCGACCACCACGTCAAGGTAGCAGCTTTCGGTCTATACCAAAAATACGGTGTGGAATCAAGCTGTAATCAAAATAATTTATTTTTTTTTAATTTATTTTTGATTACAGCTTGATTCCACACCGTATTTTTGGGACAAGTGTGGAATTTTCAGCGTCCACGCATCCTTTACTGACTCACAAGTTTCAACAACTAACATACAACCACTGAGAGAAGTTCGAGATTGCCATTGACTACAGACGGCGAGGACGGGTGACATAATCGCCAGTCACAGAGACTGACAAATGAGAAAGAACTCTTTCTTCGCTAACTGGAGCACTGAATCACTAATACTATAATGATTTTGTTGTTAGCTAAAACGCCATTTAATGCTACATAAAGGCTTTGCGAATTATTACGTAAATAACTTTATAAAAGTATCAAAAATATTCTTCGCATGCTGTAGTAAACTAAGGCGTCGGATAAACAACGCTTCTCCATGACAACATGTCTGCTATATATATATATATATATATATATATATATATATATATGTCTGTTTTCGACATAGAACTCTGCACAAATGTGCGGAAGTTCAAGTCGCCACACTCCGTGTAGCACGCGAAGCAAGAGAAGAAAGTACAAGAAAAGCATAATAGAGACAGTGAGCAGAGGTGTGAGACAAAGGAGTAATAACGAAGAACAAAACAGTTTCATTGGAGATCATAAGTCACAAGGAGTGGATGCATCTGCGTTAGCCAATGAGAACGATTTTGAGCCTTGTCAGCAATTGTTTCCAACCATAGATTTTTACCGTCCCGAGGACCCCAGCCTGGAAGTCTACACCTTCCTACGTGGCTTAGACCAACTGTTGTGGATTTCATTGACTGGTGCCAAGTTTATATATATATATATATATATATATATATATATATATGTCAGTTGTGCAAATATGAAAATCCATAAAACAGGTGAAAAAAAAGAGGAAGCGTACCGTTGAAATATGCCCTTGTTGCCCACATCGTTCACATTTGGATTTTTTCAGACTCTTTAACAAATGGCATTCATTCTTGCTGTGACCAGGCGCGAAACACGCATAACAATATACTTTATCACATTGATCTTTTTCGTGCCCCTCTTCACCACAAAATATACAAACCTTTATCGAAAGAAAAGGAATGTAAAATGAAGTTTTATTGAAACTATTAGTGTTGAATGAGTTTTAATTGTCTAAAAGTTTGTAAAGAGTTGAGACTATAAACTAACCAACCACACTAGGTTGAAAATAGTCCGAATCAATACACCAATATTTTTGAAAACCAACTGTCTAAACTACTTAACAACTAGGTAAAGACATCTTTTATTTCCAACAGGAGTCATTATAAACAAAAAATTGGATGCTTTCATTGAACATGTATTTCTGCGTGATACATCTAATAAACAAGTCAATGTGGAATTAACCTGTACCTGTGTGCCCAAGTTTTACATATATTTATTACACAAACCCACAAATAGCCACTCGCCTATAATTGATTACATAGATTTAGAAAGTGATCTTTTAATTCATCTCTTAATGTTATGATACACTGTTTTATGATTCAGAGTAAGCTCATTAAGAATCATGCATAGATGGAAATTCATAATACTTTGATATGAAATCTGACACAAACACCTGAGTTTAGGCTTGCCTTCATTCATATTATACTGTTAATTCCACTAGTAATGAATACTAAGTGACACAAAGCAGTTATTTGATTGTTCACTCACACGTTACAAGTTCACAACAAAGTACTCTACAAGAACTACCTGAACACACTATGACATTTTCGGAAAACTTCCTTTGTAATGTACTAAAACATAATTTTCACATCACTGGTAACGCGCGATCCCAATTTACTGATTAAAAACTCCTAAAGTAAGTGTCCTAATAAGCAATAAACAATATGATTAAATATTACCGATAAACTTTTATTCAGTGTATGAAATGTAGTCAACGCATTCTAAAGGTAAAAGGGTAACATTGATTCATGTTTTCTGCTAAGTAAATTTGTCAAAAAGTTGATTGGCTTACATCTAGCCTATTTCAGCTGATGATGTACGGCGACTGTACATGTGTTGTCGTTATTATCTTCGTACAACTGCTTGCATCAAATTAACACCAGGTAAACTGAATTTCGACAGCAAGTGTTTGTCACCTTGGGACACTTGTCCATGGTCTTAGATGTAATACAAATGTCATCCCAGAGGATTCTACACTGTTCACTATCTCGTGGTACCGGTAATCGGTAAAAGCCATTTGATAAACTTAAGTCATAGCACCATTGAACTATACGGTTAGTTGTGTTGGCAGCTGTTAGTGCATCACAACTCCCTGGGTGGGATCTAAGAGATGAAACTCAATGTCTCCTGAGAGCATATATGCTTTGAAAAAAACCAACAGATAAAACGTTGCAGTTTCATTTTTATTCTACTCCCGAAAGTAATACAAAGTAAAGAATCTAGAAGTTTAGCATAAATTATGCGATTAGCATCACAAGGTAGTTTTAGTTGCATGATGCACTGACATGCAAGTGGTAACTGTGCAAAGCACGTAGGAGTGTCATACTTCAACTTAGGAGAAATAATAAGAGGAACCATTCACAAGTACAAAAGGACTTACACGGTGACACCTGTGGGCCCTCCCTTTATGATCCCCGCATTCTGAACAGAGGGAATCATCTAAACTGTTGAAATACCGAGCATCACTGGAGCGAGATGACTGTCTATCAGCATTACATATTTTCCATATATCTGCATCATCCCCGGGTACTGTTTTTTCCAATGCATGTAAAGGACTATGCTCATTCTGAATATGTAAAAGGGTGTCATGGGAAACACCAAGAACAACACCCCGGGGACTGACTGTAGCCTTGTTGCTATCATCGTCACCGCACAACACAACACTACAACCAGAACTTGACGACGAGTTTAAAAGATATTCACCACTCTTTTCACATTCATCCTCAGAAGAAATTGTTTTTTCACGTGCTGAGTTTGTCAATGCATCCGTTACACTGTCATTTTGATTATCTACATGCTCCGAAACAGGACTTCTGTACGATTCTGACAGATATGAAAAAGATGGAGCAAGAGGCTTTGTTTGCTCTAATACTGAATTATATGACATTTGTTTGTCAAAGAAAACTGCGCTGTACAGACGTGACTCAGTTTCTTCATCAATAAGATCACTGTCATATTTGTCCTCCCCGTATGAACGGTGATCCATCAAATTCACAGCCGTAGTTCACACAAGGAAATACGAAATCGAAAAGGAATCAGGAAGTGATAAACTGGTAACAAAGTGAAATGATGTACTATCTAAATACAGTGGAAAACAATATAAGAATAAAAGTTAAAATACTCGCAATATTAAAGCGTTAAAAGGAATTTTGATACACAACAATCTAAACTATTCAAAATTTATGGAAGAAATTTCTAGTGGGTAACGGTAGTAAATTTAATCTGCACTGACTATAAACATATTCATTCATTAAATAGCCTAGACCAATACACTAACAGCTGAATAATAATTAAAAATTCAAATGCTATAGCCTAGGAAACGAAAGTAGAAGATAACCTGCTATCAATTTTGTTATAAATGAATTCGGCAACAAACTGTCATTAGAAGTATGAAAAGTGATATGTAACGAAATATATTTCATGAAGGTAAATGAGAACAGGATAAGTCACAAAATCTAGGACACCAATAAGTGTTAGCTCAGTGCAGTTGACTACACCAAGCCAAAAACCAATCAAACTCATGCTAATTACAACCACGTCAAGCAACGTTAAGCACTTGAACCTTTGGAGATATTCCATGATGAATTCAGTTAACGAGAGGAGAAGAAACAACAGAATGTCTATCCCTGTATCTACTGATGACCCCAAGAAACTATTCTTCTCTCACCTCCTAAAATTACAATTCTTGTTGATAACAGATTTACGCTGTGCTTAAATGCCTGCTCTGTAATCTGTGCCAACTATTCAAGCTAATGAGATAGTGTGCTTTATATCCTTAAAGATGTCCTCTGAGTGGGTCATTGGTCTGGGAGTCCGATTATTACTTATTTATTTATTTAAAGAGGTTTTGGGTATGTCTCATTGCCAGCTGCATGCAACTGCTTCCCTCTGAACTATATATAGAAGCTTTCAATGTCTATGTGTCCGGCTAAAACCCTATCAAGACCGAGTCCTAAATATGTGATGTGTTTGTAATACATGCACATATTACTTTGATTATACTGATTAGTCATACACATTAGTGAGCTCAGCTCACTGAGCACGTTTTCAGCTGGACGAACTTTAACCTTCTTGAGTTGTTACGTACATGTATAAGATAACACTATTTATCAGATTTTTCTGTTTTCTGTCTTCTCTCATCCTGCCTTTTTTCACAATTCGAAAGCATATAAATTGATGGTGACTTGAACTAAAAATTGTAATGATTGTATTCTGGATGCGTTCATTTTATAGTGTTTTCTCTGTTATCTTTCAAACAGTGAAGTACGAAACGTCATTATTTATAACCATTGTAATTTCAGATAGTTTGCAGATGATGAGAACCGATGAAATAGAATGATATCATTTTATACTGCAAATATGGTCTTTCTTTCCCTATCAAAATTTATCGAGGGAGCCAAATGTATGAAACATGCGTATAAGTTGCGTGTGTGAGCATTTACCTAACTTCATTTAACCAAGGTAGTCAGACGAAATACTTTACGAAATAAATATTCAGAAACCCAACCGCTAGTTCCCGCAGCCTTGCAAGAATAGGTATAACATTCAGTCCTAAAACGAAAGAGTGGTGGTGCAATGGATATCAATCTACAGTTACTCAGACACTCATCTGCTGGGTACACTATTAGAAATAAGAATGACAAGCTGATTTTGTTCATCAAACTCTGCTTACACACAAAGTGTAGCTCGAACGATCTAAAGGACAAGTTCTAACACACAAGGCTGCGAGGCAAATCTAGGCAGAATAAACCTCAGACTGTATCTTCAGAGTCCCAACTCAGCATACTTGTAATAGACAACTTGCAACATGTTTAGATAACCATTTGTTCTGAACAAGGGTTAACTTTAAAAGAATTTACGATATCGTGAGCGCTAAACTAAATACTGAAGTGAAATAAAGCATAATGCAGTCAAGTAGTGAGGGAAAAGTTTAGAAGTGGACTGTTGCTCTCTCTAAATAGTGACATGTCGACACATAAGAACATTTTTTGCACAATAAGTGGTATGAGTACAAGAGATAGGAAGTTACATCTATACTTTCTGAACATACGGTAGAACACAAGAACATTTTACATTTTCTACATTCGGATGCAATTTTCTCTGGCTAAAACCAACCATTGTCCATCTTTAGGAAAAAGAGAAAAGTTCTTACGTTAAAATAACTATTGAAGTGACTAAAGACCTAAAATCGACATTAGATAACGCCCAGCTGGAGTTATAGAAGAGCTACTTCACTGAAACCAGGCTGTTTTTTAAATCTTAACCACGAGTGCATCTGACTGACTGGCTAACTGAGCTTTAAAGTAAATTCAGCTCAAAAGTGCCGCAGTTCAATTGGCCACACTACATACAGCACATAGAAGAGAAAAAAATGAGAAAGAACCATAAGGTTCAAAAATGCACGGAAAAAAGAACTAATGGCGAAATACGAGGTCCTGATGGACCTGAGAGATCACAGAGAATGAAAGCAGGTGGATTTTGAGAATGATTTTGATTTATGTCACCAATAGTCTCCAGACACTGGTTCGAAGTGTCTCGAGGACTACAACAAGGCAGTCTACAACTCCCTAGGTCGCTTGAAATAACGGTCGACAACTTTATGGACCGTCATTGTGTTTTGATTACACGACTCTTTAGTCTTTTCCAATCCAACCCTATATCAGTTTACACCGCTCATCTAGAAAGGCGGTGACTTGGTATGTCATCTCGATCGATACAGCTTCATGAACTCATCAATTGATTTAAGCCCCACATCCAACACAGCTACCAGGATCAATAATACCCGCCAAAATGTACCACTTTCTACCACTTTGGTCACCACGTCGGTGACCAAAGACGGCTAGCACCTTCATATCTCCCACTCTCAATGACTATGTATCACAACAATGGGGATGGATGAAGAGAACTGCTGAGCAGCTAAAACTTCTTTCAATGGGTGGCTGAATATCACATCTATGGCGAGAATAGCGTGGATAGAAAATGTCACACAAATCTTCAGCGTCTGTACTGAGATTTCATCAGAGAGCATTCGATCGGGGCAGGTCCAACTTCCCAAATAAGGGAATCCGACACTCTCCCCCATCACACTTTATACACCTGAAGTAGAAATAGGTGTAGATTAGTGCTGCAGTATCAATTGACGGGAGTTAACCACAAGCCAAAACTATCAAAAATTTTGCCCAGTGTTCAGAAGAGTGTATTTCGTCAACATCCTCACGTAGATTAACAATATTATGCGCATACTCCAAGCCCTTCACTAAGTCACTAAATCAATCAGGATCACAAGTGCATCGAGTTATTCAGTTTTCGTCAACCTCTAGAAAGCTGATAAGCTTATAAGCACCAAAAATAGGCTTTAATAAGGCAGAAGTTTATGACATTGGTTTCAACAGACAGGAATATCTGGAAAATACATTTTAGCAATCTCATAATCGTCGCTGCATTAGAGTCTATGATGAGCTAACTAGTGGAGTATAAACTACAGATAATGATCATCAACAATATCTAATCCCCATTTTTTAAAATCAACTTTATGATATCCGTATGAAAGTTCAGAATTTGCCAACCAGATCTGTGGTCATGTCATCATCATACGCAATTACATGGGAGAGACGCCAAGACATATACAGTTATTAACCTACAACGATAGACGTCATAGTGATCTTGAATAACCAATTAAAATTTAGATGTAAAATAATCGAATAATCGTTGAAAAAATGCATTGTTAACATTGCAGACATGATAGCACGCTGGGCAATGAAAGAATGTCTCCCAGTCATTACACATAATCTATAGAGGTCGAGAAATCATACCGTGAGCAATATATGTATTCATCTAGGTGACTGAAGGTCATAGTGCTTTGAGATCTATTGATATTTCTGGCACTGTCCTTTTAACTACACTCGGATCGTGATCCTAACTTTAAAGATAATCCTGACCTAAACTCTAGACCCCAAACCCAATAAACGTAACCCTATTTAACATTACGAATTCACAGAAAAAGTACTCAGATAACAAGTATAATACATTATCAACTCTCAGTGAATTCCCAAAAGCAGACATGATTTAATTTGTAATGAACGTTCACAACGTTACCTAAATCGGACTGGCTTATGGAGGTCAACTTTTAGCAGACGACATTAACTAGGGTACTAAAAATTCGCCAAAGGATGCTTTACTAGTTTTTACCCCCAGAACCTGGTTCGCTTCTATTAGTTATCTTTTTGCTATAAGTAATTCTCAATCAATGTCACTCTTCCTGCCAACCTCACAAGCTACATCACTAACTCAGTGGGATGTACTACCGACTGGCATACGTCTTTAGAATCTTGTGGAGACACCACATATTGAATTACCCGTTCCTTTTTTAAAGCAAGATCACTAAAGTTAGTCAACCAGTGGTCAAGTGCTTTTGATTAACAAAAGGCCATACCATAGTAAATGTATTTATAGAATTCACGCTAGACTTTGGAGGTGCGTATAGTGGGACGAACAGAAATAGAAACATGGCAAGAGAAGAGAGATGAACGATTCACAAAACAGCACAGCTTCAGTCACTTCGGTGAATACATCTACAGAAACTAGTCCAACTTAGCAACTGATACTCTTCATCATAACTGGGACCTATTTTTAAGTCATATCAGAGAAAGATAAACTGTTTAACGTGTTTTCATGCATTTTCTTGTGAATAAACGTCATTTTTGTGCAAAAATTCCTCATTTTATGAATGGTTGGCTGAAGGTCACTCGTGCGTTCGCATCCCTTGGGACGCTATTGTTGAATTTCACCGAAACATAATGGGTTAAATAGCGAAAACACTGCCCTACAGATGGGATATGCTAACAACACAGAAGCCATGACTTCGATTACGAGGATATTCCCTCAAACATATGTTTGAGCAATATTGCTCAGAAAAATTCGTAGGGCTATTCAATTTAGGTGTACTCGGTAGCCTAAATTTTCCGGTAGCTCCCTAAGATATAAATTTTGGAGCACAGTGCCGTGAATGTGTAGAAGCCTGTGTCCAGCTGTCCACTCGTTAAAAACTAGGTAAACTCACCGTAAAGCAACCGTTTAAAATCTCGCAGCAGATGTACGATTTTCAACAGTTACTAGTGATCATTACCTAAATTATCATCTCTTGGCAGGAAAGGTTAGGCTTTGATAACATCCTTGAACACCATACGGGTAGGCTTTTTCCAGCTTTTTTGGCTAAGAGGTTCATCAGGCTTAAGACAACATGGCCGTCAGAATATATTTCAACTGATGGATAGACTATTAGATCTGCAAACCTATGACCACTGATTAGATTTTAGAGTATATTGCATCCCTGTATTTGAGCAATGTTAATGCTTTGCTAAAAGAAAAAAATAATTACGTCCTACTTAGTAACGAAAGGAAACGAATTTCTTGTTATGTTGCTCCTAAAATTAGTGTGACATGCACTGACGAATGTTTATTAAAGGCCTTAGCTAAATGATCCCTAGTAGTTTCGGTTTTTCAGGGTCACTGAAGAATGCCTAAGATGGTTTCGCGTTACAGTCAAGATGGAAATCCCATAACTTGTTTCGTTTCTATGACGCACAAACTAACAGTACCTCATGGTGTACAACTGGAGCTCGAACAACCTACATGCGGAAATGAATTCTGAATTAAGATCTGTTGTTAACCGAGCGTAAGTAATTTGAAGCCTCTCTGAGGTTTCACAAATGTATCTCTAAGTTCATCTCAAAGTTATCACAATTATTAGTCAATGTGCTTGACAAATCTGAACTGAAGGTAACTAGCGTACACTGCTAAATACCACACACTTACGCCCCCCTGACTAAGTCATTTGTATCTGCATCAGTACATTATTTCGAAACATCGTTTTTCAATTATGCCCCCGTACAATATATGTGCGTGTTTTCTGCCAGTGCTGGCAAGTCATTCATGTTTTCTTCATCTCACTTTTGCGTGGGTGGCCGTTTAGTGCAGTTATTTCCTCAGCTTTAAAAATTCCGTTACCTAGCTTGGTTAATCCATGTCACTGTTATTAGTTCATGTGTTTTTGGCATCGTTTCATTTCTTTTTAGGACCTTTAGGAGTTATACACTTGAATATATTGTTTCCAGTCCTTTCGTTGGCTATGGTAATTGTTCCTGGTTCAAATAGTTGCTTAACCGAACCCATTTTTAAATCTTGGGAAAACCATGTTTTACAGATATTTACAGCATCCGGCCATCTACAAATCAATCAAATAAAGAAAGCTCTGTCTGAGCACTGCTTTCGAAAGTATTGTATGAACTTTTTTGATCTCTGGCAGAGGTAGGATGTTTGAAGCTGTGGTAGAAGGGTAGTACAGAATAAATGTGGATGCTTCAGCTAACAAATACTCGATATATTGTTTAAAAAAGCAAACTGCGCACCGACTACCCACACTACTGATATGTTTGTTTTGTACAACTTGAAAGGAGGCATGTGAATATTTTAACATAGATGTAATAGCAGGTGAGCTGAATGATTGTTAATACATGATATTATTACAATTCCTTCGGGTTCCAAGAGGAACATAGGGCTTCATTAGCACGCCTCCCTTCACATGCAGGATTTATGCTTCCGTTAGAAGGGTGGTGTCCACTGGCACAAAATTCCGTGCATGCTGTTGATTGCGATGGTATTTATGGATTGTTTGCTTCCACCTGGCATTATTATTGCCCATATTGATTTTGATATGACCTAATTATCTATTAATCCTGTCCATAGAAATCTTCCTGCTTCTATGGTTCAGCCTTGCTTTTAGGCCCGAGGCATTGGATAATTGTAACCTTTCTTGCTTTCGAGTGAAATCTTGTTGTCATAATCATGGATGAAATTGGTCACCGATGCATTAGAGCTTTAGACGCTGTTGGTGACATTATGATAGCCACTCACCGCCTCAGTGTGCTCGTTGTTGTGGTCTGGGTGACCGGAGTAAGTAGCTGACTGTCCAGTTAACAATTTAGATAGTCCATCTCCATTCTGTCGGTCGTATCCCAGGCCTGAGGCCGGCTATAAAACTGGTTAGCTTTTAAATTAGGCAAGATTATTGTTAAATACACTAGGTATTTATGGTCTGACTGCCTTTCAAAGGTGGATATTCGTAAAGAGTATAATAGATTTGATTTTCCACTTGTAGAAATGATTCATAATCACTGTCGCGCTCCCGAATACTTCATGAAAGCTGCTAAACGTAGTAAACTAGATGGAACCTGAGGAATATAAAAAAAATTATGTGGCTAGACATTTTCAAAAGCGAGTAAGATGAGGATCAAGGGAATCTGCTAACATATTCCACACTGTGGACTGCTCCTTCTCTCGAAACTGAGGAGTTTGCCGTATGTATTTGTAGGGAGAACCCATAGGCTGAATCTATCGAAAATAAGCAGATGCACTCCAGTTATATCTTCAATCATTGGAAGGGCAGTCAACTAGATATCTAGAATTCCCAGCGAATGTTAGTTGCTACCTGTGGTCTGTACTGCTTTCTGTAATGTTAAATTTCCACTATCAACTTTAAATATTTGCACGGATACTGGTTAACAATCATGAACATTCTGTAGTATCTAACCCCGTCTAATTTCCTCAATACCTGCTTTGCACATCACTCTTTTACTCCCTAATTCGAGACTACTCCGTTATGACCACGTCAACTGAGCAGATTCTCATTTAACACTCCCCGGCCACTACTCCGCAGGCTGTAGGGCCAACCATCAAGCAATGCTCTCGAACAAAAGTTGATAACATGAGTGCCACGTGCTGGCAAGAACGGAGACCCAAGGTCAAGGATTTCATTTACAAACAATCATGCTGCAATTCGGAGGGAGGGTTTCAAATATCCAGATTGCATAGGTCTAGACCCATCGTTGGTTTCAGAAGACTAAGCTTAATATGTAGAACACGATGTGCCCGAAGGAGGACAACAGGACAACAGCAGGAGAGCACGATCGTTGTTCTTTGAGAGATAACGAGACAGATTGACGGTGGTTAACGAGCGCCAACCAGCAGAAAATTAAGCGATGACAGCCTTTTTTATCCCGTCAAATGTAAACCAGTTAGGATAAACAAACCATTCAATGTTCACCAATACTGACGGAGAGGAAGGCTCTTCACATTGGTCTTCCGTCGTGCCGACTTGGGAGACCAATAATTGCATGCCGCGCAGCCAACCTGAAATTATAAAAATATATGGTTTAAACATGGGAAAACTGTCTGAATTACCAGGCCTTGCAAAGTGATATTTCAAATTCAGCGCCTTCAATAATTACACTAAGTAGCCCAAACAAATATAGTATTCACACCTTCAACATATATGATCAGAAGCCTTACAACCCACTCACTCACTTCTTTTACATGAAGTATGTGAAGTCATGTCGCTTAAAGGTTCTGCTCCGTGACTGAACAACAATGCAACGCAACTGAGAGTCTTAATCCTACGTTATAATGCAGAGTGATCCGGAAGAGAAGGCTTCAGTCTGTCATATATTAGCTTTGTGCAAATTTGTTTCATATATACAACTGCAAAGACGATGGGAGCAGCTTCACCTCTGAAACACTAAAGAGTGCGTCTGACAATCCAGCCGACACGACACACTGGAGAACACGAGGATGAACAATAATCCCGATAGCGAAGCAAGAGTGTGTGTTATGAGAAGAAATACAGATTTGGGTGCAATCTTTTAAGATACAAGTTCAGTGTTTAGTCATCTATGTTCAATCTATTTACATCATTTGACAATTCGTCTTCTGCACTCACCAAATCCGCGACTTAAGACAAAGAAATATCATTATACCACAATAATAAGGTATGCATATAAGTTTCGAATGAATTATACGGCCGCTTCTGAGATATAGGCAAATAATTTAATGCATCTTGATGCAAACCACACCTACAACAGGTTTAAAAATTTTTATCTGAAGTGCATACAATTCAACTGTATTTTCCCCTTAACAGGCAATTTTGTTCAACTTCAATAATTCGTTCGAAGGAAGATAAAAAATCATTGCAATATAGGTTAAAGTTAAAGCTTAAGCCACCTAAACCAATGGCCAAACCAAAATACACACCAGAACACATTCTTTTCACAGTCAACTTACGTTACAGATGCATCGTCAAGAACAGCACACAGGAAGAGTAACGTCCACTGAGAACAATTATTGACACCAAGCTCACTGTTAAGAGCACATGAAAACTGAAATAAATGCTGAAATTCGGCTATGAATACCAACAACTACCAAACCAATAAAGACAAAAAGGTTTCAATGAATAGGCTGAATATAGCAGTATGATCCCATGAAACTTCCAAAATATACACTTAAATTTTGAACACCCTACCTTATTTAGTGCACCACATTGCGCAGTTATTAGTATCAAGCAACATTTCCTGATGCTAGTGATGCAAATGTAACGCAGTTCAAGTACATTATGCCGCCGATATTATGTGCTTCAGTAATGTTTTTCTATCGCGAAATTTCATTTAAAAAGCATATAAAAAACATAACTTGTTACTAAACCAACCTGGCAACGGATATGAACTCTACAATTAGCGGGGATACGCAACAAAGCCACTCGCGGACGAATCTAAATGTAAATCTATCGTGTAGATACACCAACCTATTGCTACGTCTCGTTTAGCTGGAAGCCCTTCTTAGAAGGATTACATATCAAATGAAGACAATCCGTAGGTTGTTTCGTCGTTACCTTGCTGTTTATAGCGTGCCAGTAAATGTGCACTGACTACTCATGACAGAAATGACCAGCGAAACTCCAGCTAAAATGAGTCTTTTGGTATTATGGGCAACTCTGCCTCAGGTAGCCTACAATGTGTGGTAATCGGATTACTTTGCCCATTTGACTTCAGCTGGCTGCTGAATTTCAAGAGGTGGTCCGATCAACCTAGTGAGAAAAGCAGTCAGATTTAAGTAGACTAGCCTTTTTACTTACGGTATATTTCGAAGACTCCCTTCGCAATACTCTGCCCTTTTTCAGCTTCTTGAGGAAAGTGGTGTCGAAACAAAAAGCATACCATTGCATGCATTTTCGTCAAGTTATCTGATGATTTCGCAATTTTATCAGAG